GAGAACATACTTGTTTGATTCCTATTTTTTTAAATTTGTTAAGGTGTGTTTTATGGACCACAACATGGTATGTCTTGGTGAATGTTGTGTATTCTGTTGTTGTTGGAGGAAATAGTCTATAAACATCAGTTATATACAGTTGACTGAGGATATTGATTTCAATTTTGTCCTTACTGATTTTCTGGCTACCGAATTGGTCCATTTCTGATAAAGGGGTGTTAACTTCTCCAACTATAATAGTAGGTTAATTACTTCTCCTGGAAGTGTATCAGTTTTTGCTTTGGCATTCTGATGCTTTGTTAGCAAAAATACATTTCAGGATTGTTACATCTTCTTGGAGAATTGACCCCTTTATTACATAATAGTCATCTCTGGTAAGTTTCCTTGATGTAAAGCCGACTCTGTCTGAAATTAATATCACCACTTCCATTATCCAAAATGAGTGTTGGCCGGGTACGGTGGCTCATGCCTGTAATCTCAGCACCTTAGGAGGCCAAGGCGGGATGATCACCTGAGGTCAGGAGTTCAAGACCGGCCTGGCCAACATGGTGAAATCCCATCTGTACAAAAATAGAAAAAAATACAAATTACCCAGGCATGATGACAAATGCCTGTGATCCCAGCTGCTCAGGAGGCCGAGGAGGGAGAATCGCTCGAACCTGGGAGGCGGAGGTTGCAGTGAGATGAGATCAGGCCATTGCACACACAAAAATTAGTGTTAACATTTGTATCTTTTTCCATCCCTTTGCTGTTGATCTATATGTATGTCTTTATATCTAAAGTGGATTTCTTATAGACAATATATAGTTGGGTGCATTTGGACTGACACTGAAAGTAATGATATACAGTTGAATTAACATCTACCATATTTGTTACTATTTTCTATTTGTTGCCCTTGTTCTTTGTTTTTGTCTTTCACTCTTTTTCTTTTTTTCCTTGTGGTCTTAATTGGGCATTTTGTATGATTTATTTTCTTTCTTTTTTTAGCATATCAGTTACTCTTTTTTTTTTTTTAAAGTGGCTGCCTTGGAATTTGCAATATAAATTTACAAGTAACCCAAGTCCACTTTCAAATGACACTACACTGGTTTCTTGATAATGCAAGCACACTATAATAACAAAATAATCCTAATTCCTAATTGCTCTCTCCCATCCCTCCATCCCTTGGGCATCACTGCTCTCCTTCATTTCACTTATATTTAAGTGTGTGTATATGACATATACATAAGCATGTAATATACTGTCGCTATTATGAATGAACTGTTATGTTAGATCTATTAAGAAAAATGAAAGATTTTCTACTACCTTCACTATTTCTTCTTTGATGCTTTTTGTTTTTCTATTTATTTTTTTAAACAGACAAGGTCTTGCTCTGTTGCCCAGACTGGAATGGAGTAGCATCATTATAACTCACCGCAGCCTTGAACGGGATCCTGGGTTCAAGAAGTGACCCGTCTCAGCCTCTCAAAAGTAGCTGGCACTATAGGTGTCAGCCACTACGTTTGGCTTTTTATTAATGAGACAGAGTCTCACTACGATGCCCAGGCTGGTCTAAACTAAGCGGCCTCCAGCTGTTCTCCCATCTTTGCCTCCCAGAGTGTTAGGATGACAGGTGTGAGCCCCTGTAAACAGACTGTGCTCTTCCTTTCTTTATGCACAACTGAGTTACTGACTTCTACTATTTTCTCTAAAGAACTTTGAACATTTTTTGAAGGCAGGTCTATCGGCAACAAATTTTGCAATTTTTGCTGGAGAAGGTCTTTACTTTTTCTTCACTTTTGAAAGGTAATTTCACAGAGTATAGACTTCTAGGTTAATGGAATTTTTTTCCTCTCAATAGTTTAAATACTTCACTCCACTTCTTGCTTTCATGGTTTTTGAGGGGAAGTTGAATATAATTCTTATCTTTGATCCTCCATAGGGAAGGAGATTACTCTAGTTTCTTTGCTTTTTAATCTTTGATTCACCATAGTTTGAATATTTTATGCCCAAGTAGAGTTTATTTTTTTGTTTTGTTTTTGTGGTCCTTGTTTTTACATTTATCCTTCTTGGTGTTTCTTGAGCTTCCTGGATCTATAGTTTGGTGTCTGGCATTAATCTGAGGAAATTCAGCTATTACTGTTACAAATATTTCTTCTGTTCCTCTTTCTTCCTCCTTGTATTACCATTATGCATATTTTCTGCCTCTGTGGAAGTCCCATAGTGCTTGGATACTCTGTTCTTTTTTGCTTTTCAGTTCTAGAGGTTGGAATTGGGTATTTCCCTTTCCCCCAGGTCAGAAGGCTCTGATAAAATCCCACCAGGTGAGTCTCTAGTTAACTAGCTTCTCTGGAAGGTAGACCTAGTGAAGAGTGCACCTGCATATTAAAAAATGATTCCTATTCTCTTTCCCCTGTAGTAAGTATGAAGGGATTTTTCTGTGATGTTTACTTCGCGAACCTGGTTGAGCTTCTGATGATACAACTCACAAAAGCATGAGACCCATATGCACAGGCCTCCTGGAGGTTTTAACTCTCAGATGTGGCCACACCTCACTGTAGCAATTTGTCAATTCCAGTTCAGGTTTTCCAATCCCAGTGTGGGTTCCTTGCAGCATTGTGCTCCAGTGTATGGTGATTCTCCGCTTTACCTTTCAAGCCAATCTGGGGACAGTGGCTTGCCTGTGACCTCACGTCTCTTGCAGGTTTAAGAAGAGCTGCTGATTTTTCAGTTTGCTCAGCTTTTTACCTGTGAGGAGGGAGTGACAGTTCTCAAGATTATCAAGTATGGAACCTGAAATTCCCCAACTCCATTAGAGTAAAAAGTGTCTTCCCTTCCTCTGGCTCAAGAATTAAAATATTTTCATTCTTTGACACGTTGTAATTTGATTCCCTAAATATTTATAATTGTAGATTTAAAAACTTGGTCTTCTGCTGTATCAGACATCTAGACGGGCACTTTCCAACAGAATTATGAGAGTCCTGTTATAGAACTTGAAACCTTCCTTGTAGCCTCATGTAAACAGGTACAATTAATTTTACTACTGTATTTTTAACTTGAAATGCTCATACTATACTTTCAATAAGAAATACAAATAGGCCAGGTGAGGTGGCTCACATCTGTAATCCCAGCACTTTGGGAGGCTGAGGCGGGTGGATCACGAGATCAGGAGATCGAGACCATCCTGGCTAACACGGTGAAACCCCGTGTCTACTAAAAATACAAAAAATTAGCCAGGCGTGGCAGCGGGCAGCTACTTGGGAGGCTGAGGCAGGAGAATGGCATGAACCTGGGAGGCGGAGATTGCAGTGAGCTGAGATCGCGCCACTGCACTCTAGCCTGGGCAACAGAACGAGACTCCATCTCAAAAAAAAAAAAAAATACAAATACAATATTTTTTGTTTTTTATATTAACTGGCATGTCTTTCACGCAGCAAATCCACTTCAGACCGGGTGCACTTCATGTGCTCAGCCGCCGCATGTGGTGAGTGACAGAGACCATCCTGCATGTGTGTGCACTTTTTACTGCCTTTTTCTTGACCACAGATTCTACCTCCTGTTTCTCTGTGTATGCAGTGATTATTTGCTGAGTATTACACATTGTAGGTAACATGTTGAGCACACTCAGGATCCCTAACCTTCCTCTGAAGCTTTCCAGCTCTTGTTTCAGCAAGTAGCACAGGCACTGCTGGGTCATCGTGACATGGGCAGGCTTGGATTGATTCGCTGCTGGTATGGATCTGTGGAGAGCTCCCAACCTGCACCCACTCCAATCTCCCCCTCCTAGACACGGTAGGATGGCCATGCTCTGTCCACACCTGAGCTCTCTCCGATCTCCCCCTCCTGGATGTGGTACAGTGATATGGTCTGCCCACACCTGAGTTCTCTCCAACCTCCGCCTCCTGGAGGTGGTAGAGTGGCCATGCTCGGCTCACACCAGAGCTCTCTCCGAGCTCTGCCTTCTGGACGTGGTAGGATGTCCATGCTCTGCCCACACCTGAGCTCTCGGTGCCTCGATCTGCAGGTGTACTCCAGAGGACAAGTGTACTGTGGGTGAGTCTCATTCATTCTCCTGCCCTTGCCCTCGGGTTCTGGCTGGCACAGCTGTGGTCACAGACTAAAAACAGCCACCTCAGTTGTTTTGTGCAGCTTTACAGTTGTTTATGGCAGATGTGTGATTTCGGTCCCTGTTCCCTCATCATGGCTAGAACAAGTTTTGGCAAATTGTTCTTATATCTTTATATTTGAAAACTAAAGGAAAATTTCAGCCATAAAATATTAGTGTTGCCACAATCCTAATGAGTATTTCTCCAGAAATTATGATCCAGGTCAGCAGCCAGTCATTTCATAGAAGATAAACTTCAAGAACATTCTCTGAAGGGCAATGAAACTGAGTAAGATCTAACCACTGTTACCAGCCACCAAGAAAAATACGTAAGAAAATGCAGCTAAGATTTGGATCAAGTAACTACAGTAATAAACATGCAAACTATCGCTAAGCACAAAATAGGCTGGGAGTTAAAAAATTTTATGATATTGACATTTATGATTTTACAAAATTGCCCCATGTGATATCAAGAGGACCCCTGATGAAAATTTACAAAGGATGCTTTATGGTTTATATGAAAATGCTAGTCAAATAAATCCAAATATTTCACAAAAATAACATTTCAAATAATATTCTTTTATATTTTGCAGACATCTGTACAATGAAGTTATTCATCATGCATGACCCAGTAACATTTCTCAGTGGTTGGATTCAATACGAGAAATAAGCAAATAACCGCAATGCTTCTTCCATTTCAAAGTCATTTCTCTTATAAAAAGTGGTCAAGAAAAATGCCCGTTGCCTTACATACTGGTTAGTGCCAAAAATTTGGTTTAAAATATTTCAAGTGGGTTCACAAAATCTGCATTTCTGCACCATGATTTTGAAGGCAAAAACCCGACTACTGGGCTAGTGGTCAATTCTGAGGCACCCAGCATGTTCAAGAGGCAGTGTTGGGGAGCGTGTCCCTTACCTGGAGGGGTGTAGGCGTCCATGGAGGTCTGCATGACCAGGGACCTGCGTTTGGAAGGCATAGGCACCAGCCATCTTCTGCTCTTTGGGTTTGGCCAGAGCCGCCTGGACAGCTTCCGTGTGGATGTCTGAAACGGAGACAGCTCAGTCACTCAGTGCTCAGCTAAAGTCCCAGAGGCCAAGCTGCACCCTCCTCTCTGTCCCCGCAGTACGGTTCATCCATCTGATACTCACCAACAGATGGGTGGGTGAGGAAAGAAAATCAGTGTTTACAATTCCAGTAAAGACATTAAAATTTATTCACAGACTTTTATTTATTCATTTTATGACTGCAGAATCCATATCCAAAAGCAAACACTGGCTCTAAACTGCGCTGAGATTTTTCTTTTTAGGGTGAATGGACCTTGATCTTTGGAGATTCTTTTAGGTCACACGTTTGAGCCTCCAAATCCTTTCACTGTACCGCTGAGAGGCGTGTGCACGCCTCGCACCCCAACTCACACAGCCCCAGTCGCAGCTCAGCTCAACACCAGCCATGGGCCAGGACTGTGTTGGCTATGGATATGGTTTGGCTGTGTCCCCACCCAAATCTCAACTTGAATTGTACATCCCAGAATCCCCATGTATTGTGGGAGGGACCTAGGGAGAGGTAATTGAATCACTGGGGCCCATCTTTCCTGTGCTATTCTTGTGATAGTGAATAAGTCTCATGAGATCTGATGGTTTATCAGGTGTTTCTGCTTTTGCTTCTACCTTGTTTTCTCTTGCTGCTGACATGTAAGAAGTGCCTTTCGTCTCCCACCATGATTCTGAGGCCTCCCCAGCCATGCGGAACTGCAAGGCCAACTAAATCTTTTTCTTCCCAGTCTTGGGTATGTCTTTATCAGCAGCATGGAATTGGACTAAAACAACCATTAACACATTTTGTGGCTATTAACCCATTACATTAATTCCACACATTCACTGAATGCCTCCTCTGTAAGTCCCTATAGGCTGGGGATACAGTGGTGATAAGGCAGACAGTCTCATGGCATCTCACGCAGGCCACTTCTTAAGGGAGGAGACAGGTGATAGATGGGGTAGAGAATTAAAGCAGAGACAGATGCAGTGGCAACTCCAAACTGTGAAGCTAGGGAAGAACCTTCTTAACACGAAATCAGAACAACAGGAATGAACCATACTGGCTGTCAAGACGAGAATCTTCGAGACAAAGGCAAAAACCCGCTCAAAGACCCTAAACTGTGAGTGAGAACGGTGTTAGCAGAATAAAAACACCATCACCACCAAAAATGGCCAGCGTGAGTGGAGACGGGTTGGGGCAGTTTTCGCTGAAGCTGTGAGAATGATCCCACTGAAAGGGAATCGGACGTGGCTTTCTGGCTTAAACCCCCCAAGCTGCCACCTGAGACAGGACCCAGACCCGCAGCATCACACCCACAGGCAGCTCATCACACTGCTTGGTCTTGGTCAGCCTTTGTACACACTACTCTCCCTAACTAGATAAAGATCCTGGTCATCTGGCCACTATTTCTAATTCCCAGGTCATAAACCACTGTGTGACTGACTTGGCTCATGGCCAAAAACTGAAGGGATCAATGAGGTGACAGTCCACTCACTTCCACAAATCGCTTTTTGTTTTGCATCTTCTCCATTTTAAACTTTTTGGATGTAATTTCAAAGACACAGAAAATCTGCAAGACCAGCGTAGTGAATTCCCACATAACTTACCAGGCTCAACTTAGGCCCACCTGCTCCTATCTTACATCACACTGCTTTCCTCTCTCCCCCATGAATTTTCTAAGTCAAATGAAAATAAATTTCAGATACTATGTCCCTCCATACCTAAATGTTTCAATGTATTTCCTAAACACAAGGATATGCTCTCACATTCATTTTCCTCAAGATCGGGAAATTTAACTGTCATATACAAAGTTCACTTTCAAATGATGTCAACTGTCTCCATAATTTTCCTACTTTGTCTTCCTCTTTTACAATCCAATCCAGGATCATGAATTGATTTGTCATGTGATTTTTACCAGTCCAGAATCCAAGTTTCTCAGGTTTTGTGTTTCTTGAAATTGGAAATGTTAAAGAATACAGGTCAGTTATTTTACAGCTTGTCCTTTATTTTGGTATCTTCCAGACTAGACTCAAGAGTATGCATTTTAGCAGGGACACCGTAAGTCTGTCCTGTGTGACAATGTTAACATCAGCAACTCAGTGAAGGTGGTGCTTAAGTTCCTTCAAAGCAAAGACGCTACTCCTCACGTTGAAATTAAGATTTGGGAGGAGGCACCACGACCTTATGTGCATATTCTGTTTTCCATGAATTCTTCACTACTAGTTTTAGCATCCACTGATTTCCTGTCATTCCTTCTAAATCATTAGATCTTCCATATTCACTGAAAAATAATTATTTCATCTTTCAGCATTCATTTATATATGTCCATATGTACTCATGGAGTCTGGCTTGGTAGGTTATAATTCACAGTTACAATGGTTTGTTTTGTTGCTCAACTGGTTCCAGATCTGATACCTGATTCCCCAGCCCTTGGACCAGGGCTCCTTCTAGTGAAGAACGTTGTTTGGAAGCTAAGACCGGGCACCGGGTGCCACTGGGCATTGCCGGCAAGCAGACCACACAACACGCATGTACACACATGTACACCCACACCCATCCGCAGGCACTTCTGTCCCTGTCTACATCTGTCAGGAGCCACTAGTTTATACTGGTAAAAGGTCCCACATAGACATTCGGCATTTGTGAGGATCTGGCACCGTGACTCACTTCTACAGATTTAACATGTTTATGTATAAATTACAATGGCTCAACTATATGAAAACTGATAGCAGTAATGGATCAATTCCCTCATTTCTCACTTGGGCCACACTTCCTGTTTCTGCAAGAACATATCGCTTGGCTAGAAGACACGATGTTGACATTGAAAGGAAAAAGGACCTTGTATAAGAATAATGCAAAGAATTCTTCTCAAAGGCCACTGGGACACACACTTTGTTGCTGATCGGCTGTCCACCGGCGCAGCAGTGAGAGAGAGAGAGCTCCACGCGTGAGCAGTCACAGTTCCCGTGACCCACACAAAGACCCCCAGGGTGACGACAGGCCAACCAGCAGCCTTGGAACGGATACTTCCTTCCCGAAATAGCTTCCTGAGAGACAACAAACAGTGATAATTGCAGGCATTTCTATGACTGGGAAGCAAGAAACCCTCCCAGTGCTGTTCCTTCTACACCACATCCAGAACAGGCGTGCACCCGGTGTAGAAAGCTCCCAAGGCCTGAACAGATCATTCGAATCTAATTCAGACTGACCTAATCTCTGCAGTGCAGTCCTACAAACAGACTTCCCAAAAGTTACCAAACCACTACCTCAAACCTCATGCTTTCTCTGCTTCGAAAGAGGACATGCTGCTCGGTTTATACAGCCACCAGAACACAACACGGTATTATCTTACTGCCCTTCAGTGCCAAGAAGAATCATGTGGTCTCTCGCGGTAAAAACAAAACCACATCCACCACAACCCAGCTTTTCACATTGCAGGGGGTTTTACAGCCTCTTTCTATGTCGTCTTCCTTTTTGCCCCAAACTGGATATTCTTTTTAATTTCTCCTTATTTCCTGAACATAATTTGATCAATACAATTAAAGTGCTTGTGTTAGAAGTAACTTTACTTAAAAAGAATTGAAAGAACTACATCAAAATATTAAGAGTAGCCATTTCAGGATGACAAGAGAACAATATAATGTTTTTATTCATTCTTTTCAACATTTGCAAAGTTTTTTGCCTTGAGTGCAGTCACTTTTGCAATCAGAGGTTACAGTGCTTGATGGAATGAGGCCATGAAGCACACACACCACCCAGTTTCTAACACAGAGAAATCTATGGGGAAGGATGGAGACACAGGAAAGGTTCATCTTAAAGCAATGCAGGTGGTTTTCTTCATAAAGGCAAAATACATTTTTAAAAGTCTTTGCATCATACACAAGTCTGCTAAATTTGGTCAAAAAACAAAGAAAACAGTAACAGAAGAACACTTTAGCCCACAAGGAGACCAGTACACCCAGCTCGAAGCCACTCCAGATGAGTACGGAGAGTGGTTTCCTCACAGCTGACCCATAGGATCGGGTAATACGAGCAGGAGGGAAACGTGGGGACCACAAAGACGTCAGACTGTGGACTGCACAGCAAAAGACAGCAACACAAACTAGCGGAGTAATTAAAAACTATTGTGAAAAGATGTCCACATTCTATTTTAACCTGAAATCAGTGGCATGGTGACACTTCAACACATCTATAAACAGCACCCCTGAAGATTGTCAGAGTCTACACTGAACAATGTTAAGATGAGGAACAATAACAGGACAGCCTCCGCACATTGTGTGGTGGAGTCTTCTCAGCACAGACCCTTAGAGCATGCTAACCCCATCATCAAAACACAGCGAACACGTGGAGAAAGGACAACCTGTCCAGGCGTGAAGATCAGCTTCTGAACCACGCAGTGTAATTATGGCTGAAAGCATTTCCTGCAACGCTGAGTGAAGTGTTCGAGTCAGAGTCTACCTCCATGTGCTAAGTTGTTGCTGTGTTTAATAATTCCCGTCCAACTCAAAATATCCAAGGCAGAAAGCAGCATCCAACCACGAACACCTAAAAGAGCGATTAAGTGGACAGCACTTTGTGGACAGACTTTTCCCAACGTGACACCTAGAGGGGACAAGGAGGCAACACATGCCACGATGGCCCCCCGGTTCCACTCGCTGCTCCTCCTGCATCCTCAGCACAGCCAGGTGCTTTGCTAGTGCCCTGCTGCAGAGAAAACACCCCAATGCAGCTACTGGGGAGGGCTTCTCTTATGACATCCAGCTTAAAAGGCGGCATGTCCACTGGCCAGTGGCCCAAATCCCACACGTGAGGGGAGAGATCTGAACACCGGACACAGGGGGCAGGATGGACCCATCTCCCATGAGAGCCAATGCCAGCGGGTGACAGGGAGTCCTGGCCAGTCTGAGGCCTGGGTGCGAGGAAGGGGGCAGTGTTGGATGAACACACAGTGCTGGAAAGGATATGAGCTGAGAACAAAGACATTTACAAAGCTCTGCATAAAATCCAGATCATTCTGAGAAGAGCGCAGAAGATGAAGAACTTTTAGGAAAATATAACATGGGTAAACAGGTTGCTA